TTTTTTTTTTTTTTTTTTTTTTTTTTGTCTTTTCTTTTGGTTGCAGGACGAAAAGAACAGGCCGCAGCAGGACGCACTTGGCGTGAAATCGATTCAAGTACAACTCTTTGTTTAATTAGGTTCTTTCACCCCTGCCCGAGGTGATATGGGGATGGTTCATTTCCGTGAGAGGCGGTGGCTCCTTCTGCAGTCTTATAGCAACGGGATTGTTGAGGATTGCAGACGACCACACATTCAAAAGGCGCTTGTTGGTTAGCGATTTTTTATTTTGCTGAAAACTTATATCTTGAAAAGTCGCCGGAATATTCGCTGCAAGTTCGCTGATCTCGGTTCAGACTGCAGAAGACGACACGTGCGAATGTGTGTCGTTTAGCAAAATGTGTTGTTTGCAGACCACATTGTGAAAGTTCGCCGAAGAGTCTCTGCAGTTTCGCAGAACTCGCTGCAGATTGCAGAAGGCCGCGCATGCAAACATGTGCTGTGAGCACAGTTTGCTAAACTTATCCCCTGAATGTGCGACGAATATTCGCTGTACATTCGCTTCATACCAACGAAGTTTGCTGAACTTATCCCCTGAAAGTTCGACGAATGTTCGCTGCAAGTTCGCTTCATATTCGCTGCCAAGTCCCTCGCTTCAAGTTCGCTGCTGCGTATTCTTCGCTGCTGGCTGAAAGTTCGCCGCAACTTCTCTGTACGTTTGTCGTTGAAAGAAAAGCGCACTGTTTTGTTTTTTTTTTGGTGGAATGAAGCCGACTCCGAGGGGACGAATGGAGAATCGACGGCTCATTGAGAAGAAGGAACTCCAACCGGATGATGAGGAGATGATCAACGGCAGCGGACAGTTGCGTGTTTGGTAATGAGGGAAGGGGATGTTTGCCAGGTTGCGAACGTGCGCGGCGAATCGCCGTCGATGGTGTGACATTTTCTTTCCCCTTGCCGCGCCTTTTTCTTGAGAAGACGACACTCTTCTCGAATCGTGTTCCTTTTTTTTTTTTTTTGGGGGGGGGGGGGGGGAAACTCTTCTGCGATCTTTTCGTTCCATATTCGTGTCTTTACATCTATATATCGTCATCAATATATTTTTTTGTTTCCTTTGTTTGTTTTTTTCGCTTTTGCGCTCTGATATCTATGTGCCGATATATTATATACTAAATATATGATCGGTGAAACTCGGACGAAACAGTTTGTCACAGCCCCTCCCTCGTTTGTTGTCCTCTTCTCCCTCCCTCCCTCTCTGCCTACTAAGGTTTACCGCGCAGTTCTGTTTGACGACGATATATATACATAATATACATATATGCATATTCCTATATGTATAGTGATGTTGTATATGTATAGCCGTGTCCATCACGGGGAGATAGTGTGATCTTCTCCCCTCCTCCTTCCGGGTGCGCAGACTTCGCCTCAATCACGACTGTTGCTTGCCCAATCCCGATCCCGACACCCGTTCTTCTTCTTCGACTTCGTTCTGTCGCGTCGCGAAGATGACGTCAACCGATAATTATGTCTTAACCCGCTACTGCTAGTGCCTTTGCCGTCCGGTTTCGACAAGTCCTTTAGCCTACCGGTAGTCCCGATCCCGAACTTTTAGGAGGCCGGTCCCGACAACGGCTGCGGCTGCCGTTGATACATCTGACTGATCGGCGGCCGTCGTGTCGTTTCGTTTCGGCCTCCTCCTGAAAGGTTGGTGGGAGGCCCACTCACTATTTACCGAACCGACAGAGGT